TTCTGTCCCAGCAAGACTTAGTGGTGGCAGGGCCAGCCACTCAAACCACAGGCCAGCCCCTCCCGGCCCCCTGGCGCCTCCCAGCCCGTGGCACACACCCCAGACCCGCAGGCCCGCCAGCCTCACTGTCCCGCCCTCCATGCCCACAGCCTTGGCTTCCTCCCTGCAATCTCCACCATCCCTTCATTCATTCACCAGGTGATCATTTCATCCCAGTCAGGGCCCAGGAGGTCCCTGGGCTCAGGAATAGGGAACATGCCCCCAGGAAGCTCCTGGTCTATCAAGAAAGCACTGACACCACACCTGCTGCAAGGGGCCACAGCCATATCAGCCCCACCCAGCCTCACTCACTGCAGGCAGGGCTGGAGATTCTGAAGTGCAGTGGGGTCAGCACTGGGGAGGGGACAGAGCCAGGCCTGGTCACCTCAGCAGGGTGAGCACCAACGCAGGTGGCACCGAGGGAACGGCGGCTTCTTAGCCCCTTCTCATCCTGAGATTCCAGACCTCTCCCTCTCCTGTGCTGACCACAGACTACAATGAGAGCCCCTTGCATACACACACACAAACACACACACACACACACACACACACACACACACACACACACACACACACAGAGTTCACAGAGCTCCTCCAGCCCCTTCCCAGAGCCCTCAGAGCGGCTCTTCTTCGGGGAGCAGAGCACATCCCCTCCCCCACTGGCAACTCCATGACTACCCCAGAGTTAAAGGAGAAAAAAGACCCAGCACCCACCTGGGGAGACAGACACTTACTAAACAGCAGCAAATATAGGCATAATAGAGGTGGTGAAGTACACTGGTAAGATCACACAGCAAGAAAGCATAGAATTAAGACCCTCCTATTGGCCTGCCGGGCCCTGGCTTGACCCAGCTATACTATTTTGTGGCTGTGTGACTCTGAACAAACCAGTCAACTTCTCTGGGCTCCAGTTTCTTCTGTAAAACAAGCACTCAGTTAGGTGCTGCTTCATTACGGAAACACAGGAGTGCTTGGCCTGGCAAGCACCTGGCAGTAGCTACTGTTCAGATTAGTAAGCCCTCATAGAAGTGAAGCAGCCTCCAAACCTCACTACCAGCCCCTGCCAGGCTGGGGTGGAGACTTCACAGTCCCCAGCCCCCAGCAGGCTCCTGCCTGCTCCAGCCTTGGGGCCTCGCTGCCCCCAGGCAGTCCACAGGGTGTCCCCAACAGGGCAGAGACATGAGGGAGGCTTGAGCTTCTCCCCCTCACTCCCGCCTCTGCTCACCCCGGGTCCCCCAGTGCCCAAAGGTACCACATCCCCAGGGTGTCCTGCCCCAACCCAGGCAGGAGCCATTGTCTTCTGAATGCCACACAGCTGTTTCTCACCACCAACGGGCGCCCGAGAACCACACTGGGTCCCCAGAGAGCAGCAGGCTTCCTCCAAATCCCAGTTCTGCCACGAGGACACTGTCGCCTCCCTCCAGTTAAGTATGTATCCCCGGGTGACAGGGAGGAGGGCTGAGGGCCAGAGCAGCCTACACCTTGCTTCCTGGCGCGTGGTGACCACTTTCATTGCCCAGTTCAAAGGCCTCCTGCTCCAGCAAGCCTCCCCCAGCCCTCCAGGCTCCTCCTCAGAAAGGCCCTGTCTCCAGGAGCTCAGACTCCTCCAGGGGCTGGTTCCCTCCTCACACACCCTTGCAGCAGGCACTGTGACCGGCCCTGTTCTGAAGAGGAGCCTGAGACACTGTGAGAAGACACCCTGTCCTTACACAGCAGTCACCTGCCCTGGGAGCTAAGAGGCTGCACACTCCTTTGAGGTCCCTGCAGGGTCCCCTAGCTGCGGGGAGAGGATTCTGCTCACCCCAGGCCTGGCCTGGAACACCCTAGGGGTCTGCACTTTTCACGTTTAGTGAGAACCCATGGCTCAGGGTCAACCAGGAGCAGCAAAATCAGGGGTCCTGGATGCCTGAACGAGGGAGGCTGGGGCAGGCACGGGAACCTGCCTTCCACTGCCCACCTCTGCCCCTTCCCAACCGCCGAATGGCAGATCGGTGAGAGCGACACTGGCTCAGCATTTAGCATTTGTCAGGCGCTGTGCTAAAAGCTTTCCCCTTTCACTCTACCTACCCTGCTTCACATAGGTGGAAATTAAAGGAGAGACATTAAACAGCTTTCACAAGGTCACATGACTACAAATTAGTGGTCTCCAGTCACTGAAAGCACTCAAATAAGTAGCACCTAAGAATCTCTTCCAAATCCTGACTTTTTCTTTCTTTTTCTTTTTGAGACAGGATCTCTCTATGCAGTTCAGGCTGGCCTTAAGCTCACTTTGTAGCCCAGGCTGGTCTCAAACTCATACAGATCCTCCTGTCTCAGCCTCCCAAGTGCTGGGAATATAGGTGTACACCACCATGCCTGGCCCAAATATAGACTTTTAAAAGAATATGTTTCAAAAGTTAAAATTTCTAAGATCCCCTCCACTCTAAGCTATTTTGGTCAATGACATATATAGCAGCTGAGGTGGCTCTGAAGGCAGAAATCACCCAGGCTTTCAGGAGACAGGATTTCTCAAGGAGACGCCAGGAGAGATGGACATATGTGTGTTTCTCTCCCTCTCTCTTTCTCTCTCTCTCTCTTGTGCACGCTCACACGCACACACACACATACACACACACTCCCACCACAAGCCCATTCAAAGCATGAATGAGATCTATCCCCCTAGCCCCACCTTCTCAGGCAGGTGGACAGACCCTACCTACCAATGGAAATGGAATGAATCAAACAGAACTTTTAAGGGTCTGGTGCACAGTAGAGCCTCAGCAGGGCAGGGTCCCTCCCCTGCCCTGAGCCAGACCACTCATCTCAGATGTGGTTAGAGGACCCACCACAGAGGCCCCTCCCAGAGTACCTGGCTGGGTGCCAGTGTGACCTTGGCCCTGTGTGCTCGGCAAGCATCACCCTCTCCTCTGCTGGCAACCAGCAGCCCCACCCACCAACCCTCTGCCTCCCAGGCCACAGGAACATGGAGGGCTGATGTCCCTCCTCACAGTCTGAGCCCTGGGAAGATGGACAGCCTGGAGAGAGTGATGGTGCCCCACCCCTTCAGCCTCTCCTCTCCCTGAAGCCCAGCCCCTTCCCAGGGTGGGGGGATTACTTGATCTGCTGCCCAGCACTGAGTATGAGCCCTGCATCTCCCCCAGCTTCAGGGCCACCCTGTCCTGCTGGCATCCTACTGTGCACCAGACCCTTAAAAGTTGTTTGATTCCTTGGCAGGGGGTTAATTACTGGCCTTGCTTCATGGACGGGGGACAGTGGTTCAGCACAGGCAGAGACTTGCCCAGGACTGCACAGATCCGATGCCCACAGGTCCTCCAAGGCTCAGGCATTTTGTGCTAAGCTGGTTTTCCTTCACTCCTCCACCCAACATTCCCTGCATGTCTCATGTAATCTGCTCCCTCAGAGGAGGCTGTCATAACCCCACTTCATGGAGGGGGATCCCAGGCTCAGAGAAGTGGCACCATGTGCCTGAGATCATACCAGGAATGGGCCGTGATAGCCGGTGATCTGAACACAAGGCTGTGATTCCCAAGTCTCTGGCCTTAAGGATTTCCATTAAGCACTGAGGAAGTGAGCCCTGCTGCTACAATGGGTGGGGTCTCTATCCCTCCCAGGGACCTCTTCCCTCACGAGCCAGCATGACGGTGGGACCACCAGCAGGCTCCTGACACCCACACTCCTAGCTGATGCTCCCCAGACCATGAGGCTGATTGGGCGCCTGTCGATCCATGAAGCATCCTTGGATCCTGCCTGTCCTCCTGCCTCCTGGCCATTCGGGCTGTAAGAGGGAAGGGACAGGCAGGGGCAGCATGGACAGCTGGCAAAGCCTGACAGGCCCAGCTCTTTTTCAGGCCAGAGGATGGGAAAACAGCACTACTCTTAGAACCAACTGAGGAGGCTGGACTTAGAAAGCCCAGCCCAGCCATGCCAGAGTCTGGACAGGTGCCCACAAGGAACTCACTGGGACCCGGGTCCCTCAGAGGGAGGTCATGATTCCTCCAGCCTCTTCCTCTCATTCCTCCGATGGAACTGGAGCAAAGCTCAACCCCACAACTTCTATGGTCACTCAAAGGGATATTCAGGGGTCACCTCATACACACAGCCTCTACCTGCACACATGTGACCCCCTCCAAGGTCCCTGCACTGTGTCCAGGTTAACTTGTGCATTGCACGCACACTCCCACGAGTCCAGCACATGGGCCCACCAAAGGTCTTTCCACTCACACCCCACGGCCCTGCAGGCACACGTGGCCGTGCCCACGGCAGCCCAGCCAGGCACTGGTACATGACATGCACCATACATCTCCTTAACCCAACCACCCAGGGGATGGAGGGATGGCGGCACCCACACATTCTGTGGGCAAACCTTCACACTCCACACCCCCCACGTCCTGGCCCTCCCTGGGGTGGGAGCACACACACAGGGTCACCCTCATTCTCCCCTCAGGTCACCTTCACCAAATCACCGTCAGCCTCCCTATTCAGAGTCCCCACTGCCCTGCGCGTGGCGTGGGGGAGCAGAGATTCTGGCAGAAACCAGGCACAACCCTCCTCAAGCAAGGTCCTCGGCCGCGACGCCTCGCGAGTGCACCGGTGTGGGCACACCCACGAGCGGGGGCCCTCAACACACCCAGCCTGTGGGCACCAGCGCCCCCCAGCCGCGTGTCAGCGCCATCCCCTCGTCCCTAGGGCCAGGTTGGGCACCCCCCAGCCGCCCCGGGAGCCTCTTCCCGGGGCCGCAAGGACGGGAGGGCGGTGCTCACTACCCGCACCCCACGTCCTTCCTTATGGGAAGGGACCCTTCCAAGGCTCCCGGCGGCCGGGTGGCCTCCCCACCAGTGCCAGCGCGGGGGGCGCGGCGGGGCTCCCGGGGGGCGGATGCAGGTCCGGGCGGGGCGAGGCAGGTACGGGGGCGGGCGGGACCTGGGGGGCCGGGTCGGGGCCGGGGTCCCCGCCGCACTCACCCCCGCGGCGCGCCCGGCCAGCAGCAGCAGCAGCAGCGGCGGCAGCAGCAGCCCGCGGGCCCCAGGCGCGGCCGCGGTCCCGGCTCCGGCTCCAGCCCCGTGGGCGGCCCCGGCGCGGTGCGGCGGCCCCGGCTTCATGGCGACGGCGGCGGCGGCGGGGCCTTTGTTCCCGGCGCGGGCGGCTGCTCGGCGGCGGTGGGCGACGCGCGGCGCGGTTCGGTTCGGCTCGGCTCGGCTCGCACGGCTGCGCGGCCGGCTCCGCCTCGCTCCGGCTCCGCGTCCACAGCGGCCGCGCCCGCAGGAAGCGTGCGCCGCCGCCGCCGCCGGCCCAGCGCGGAGGGGCGGGACCGGGGCGGGGCCGGGTGGAGGGGCGGGGCAGGGGGAGGAGCCAGCCGCCAGCCCCGCCCCTCCCGGGACCCCGCCCCGCCCGCTGCGGGAAGCGGAGGCCCCGCACGCCACGCCGCACGCGGCTCCTCCGCACCAGCCCGGGCCCGGTTCCAGTGGGTCGCGTGCGTATCACAGGAGTCTCCTCTAGAGACCTCCATCATCGCCCTCACGCCCCCAGTGGCCTGCAGAATGGACTCGACGTCATCCCAAGACCTCTTTCCAGGCTCCAGGATGTGGAAGGGCTGCTGACCTCAGGCTAGGCCTGGTCCTCTCGTGGCCTCAGTTCCCCCAGGCAGCATGGAATAGACTCTGATGCCGTGGATCTGCAGATGACACAGTGGCAGATCCGAAGTATGCTTGCTTCCCCAGGCCAGCACCCCGAGTTCTTCTCCAAGACTCAGATTCCCTAGATGGAGTGGAGGCCACCCACTCCGGGTCTCTGGTGGCAGCTCCCCGCCCCAGGGTCTGCTTACCCAGTCGTCCCTCTGCTTCGTCCTCCACCAGACACGTGTTGTATCGTGCCTACTTATTGGCAGTCCCCACTGGCGCCTAAGCTCCAGGAGGGCAGGGCTGGGACTACTGCGGTTAATCCCCAGGGACCCCAAGGGCCCCTGTGTCCCTAGCACTGGCCCATCCTGGCAGTGGGTGCTCCATACAAATTTGTAGAACCAATTTCTTATCACCCTCAACTCATCCACCCAAGGGGCTTAGGGGCAGATAGGGAGGAGTAAGTAGTTATTAAACCCGTGCCATCGGTCAAGAGCTTTCTGTAGTTACTCACCATCCTCTCACCACCGATGGGCTTGGTGTTGCCAATGCCTACTCTTCTTTGATGAAGAAACGGAGGTCAGGACAGGAAAGGTTACTTGCTGATGATAGTGAGCTACATGTCTGCCCTTGGCCACTTTCCTCTGTAGCCCTTGTGACCCTACAGCCTGCTAAGAAGAGGGAAGCCAGGCCTGGAGGGACAGCCATGGTTTGCAGGTGTCAGGGGAGCCTGATTTGGCCTGCAGGCCCTTGGGAGAAGTGACAAAGGTCAGCTTAGCCTAAGATGGAGTTGTGTTGAAGGGGCTCCCTGAGGAGGAGAATCCAGCCCCTGAATGAAGCCCATGTAAGGCCAGCCTCACTGCCCTCTGGCAGGCATCCCGGAGAGAGGCAGGCAGATGTCTCAACTCTGCTATCCAAAAAGCCCTAGCAGCTCTGAGATCCCAGCCTTTGGAAATCCCATTCCCAAATCTGTTGGAATTTGGATCCACGAGCAGCTTGGATAGATGGGAGAGAAAAGGTGGGTGGGACCAGCTGACAGGGACCTGGTTTTAGTTGAAATTGCACAGCTTAGAGGCAAAGAGCTTGGGAGCTGGGGATTCACTCAGACTCCGGGCTGGAGAAGTACCTGAGTTCAAATCCCACTGCTGCCATCTATATGCTGTGTTTCATTAGCGTAACTTTACCTCTCTGAGCCTGTTTCCCAACTGTAATATGGAGATAGGACTTGAGCTTGGCACCCAGTGGATTTGACCGAGGTGGCTGGGATGATGCTTACAAAGGGAGGGACCCCAGTGTGGGAATAAAGTTACCTTTCGGAGAGGCTGAGCAGACCCGGGAAATAGACTGGTTCTAAGGAGCTAGAGGGACACAGGGTTTGGAGCGTGGTGTGAGAGCCAGATGTCAGTTGGTGCACAGAAGGACCTTGGAGCAGCTGGAGTCAGCCCCAGCAGGCAGGGAGTATTGTAATAGGTAGTGAGCACCCTGTCCTGGGAGGTGAGCAAGCTCAGAGAGCTATCTAGCAAGGACACCGTAAGGATGGTCTCCATGCGCAAGGCAGGTAGTGAGCAAGGCCCTTCTTTAAAGGTCGCAGGCTTCTTGGAGACTTGGGATGCAACAGGCCTGCTTCCCTGACGGCCCGGGGCCAGGCCACGAGCGCCACCTGCTGCTCGTGAGAGACGCTAGTCGCAGCCAGAACAGCCAGTTCTGGAGCAGGAGGGTCTGGTCCACCGCCCCACCTGCTCTGGGTCTCCCTGGGGTTCCGCGATGCGTCCACTCCCTACCCTCAAGCGCTTGGTGCGCCTGCGCGGTCACCGGCTGTGCCCTCCTGTCAGTGGAGCCCGGCTCCAGCATGCTCCGGGCTCGCGTCACCCTGCCACGGCCACACGCACAGGCGTCTGGCGCTATCCTCGCTCCGCCTTCTTGGCTCTTAAAATGCACCTCCTCCTGCGAGCTGCCTTCCAGACTTCTTTGGGGTGGGCAGGGTTGGTTTTTCCCTGCTCTGCCCCCACCCTGTCACACCCACTCTGTACTGTCCAGCCTGCCTTCAGTCTGGCTTGCCCTCCGTAGGCCCAGCGTCCACTTCAGGATCCCCAGGGAACAAAACCTGAAGCACTCAGAAGTTAGGAGAGGAATTCCCATCTCCATAGCCGAGAAGTAAGGACCAAGAATTTTACCCAGGTGCCCCCATTAGTGCATGTTGTTTGTACAGAATAGTGTGTTTTGTTTTGCCCTATTCCTACATGCATAAACATATTTTGATTATTCCCCCCCCCCGTTTTCTCCCCCCATTTCCCTCCTCTTAATAGTCTCCCTCCTGCTTTCATGTTATCTCTTTTTTATTTTTCATTTTTGACCCAGGCTTTTAATAGCTAGAACCATAATACAAGAACTAGAGGTATGCTAGAAAGTGTTTGATGACTGACTTAAAGAGTCACTGAGGGACTCACACACCAACCAGAGGACAACCATAGGACACACCTCGCAGCTGTGGCTTCCTCCACCCACCCTAGCTTGCCTTCAACCTCCACATTTGGCCAGGCCTCCAGGCTGTAACCAGGCAGCAGGGAGATCAGCGGCAGCCTCTGGGCACCTCAGGTGGGCCTGAGACACCTCATTCAGGGTCTTGCACCCTGCCAGCGCACAGCGGGTGCTCAGTGGCCGCTCCTAACTCCGTCTGTCCCTAGGGATTTGGCTAAACTGACTCCAGCATTCCTGTTGTCACAGAGGCAGGGTTGCTTTTACCACGGGCCTGGGGCTGTGGGGCACAAACAGCTGGCACCGGGGTGCTAGGTGAGGACGGTGAGCTGGTGCTTCTGAGAGCCTGGCTCACGGTGAGCGCTGTGTGCATCTGCTCGCTGCTTTGTCCCCACACTTCACAGTCAGGGGAGCTGAGGCTCAGGGAGGTCCAGCAGCCTGCCCTGAGCACACAGCCAGCCAAGCCTCGAGCCAGGCAGCACGAGGACAGAGCTCTAGCTTTCCCCACTGTGACTTCGTGATCCTGACAGGACCTCCAAACACAAGCTCCTTCTGGGTCCCGCAAGGCAACCACAGGTCCCTGCTGCCCCTTGCCCCAAACCCCAAGCCCCCATTTTCCCACCACAGCTTCCTTTCTCTCTGACCTAAAGTCAGGATGGGAGCCAGAGTCCAGGTGTACTTCTGGGAAAATCTGGGTGAGAGCAGCCCCGAGAGGTTGGTGACCTCCAAAATTCAGGAACCGACAGGTCCTGACAGGAGGGCTCCAGCTCTGAAGGATCCACAAGTCCTCTTGGGGGAACGTGGAGAGACACCAAGGCCACCTGGTGCCTCTGTGAGTGGACATCCCAGCCGGGCAGCAGATGCCAGGAGGCTCCACAGAGCCAAGGGAGCAGGTCAGCGTGGACGAGGCTTGTGGGGCCATACTGGGCCTCAGTGCTGGGCAGAGCAAGGTGAGCTCTGTGTGAAGCATCCTATGTGCTGGGCAAGTCCTTTCAGGGAAACAGGCGAATGGCACCCCAGAGTACATGGCCACCAGGCATGGGGACAGGGTTTGAACTCAGGCCTCTCCGTGTGCCCCAAACATGACTCAAGGCCTCAGGGGTTAGTGGGGGTCAGAAAGGCAAAATCAAGGGAAATTTGAAGTGGGGGCCTTCGAGCCACAGGGCAAGGCCTGGCTGTCCTTGCAGGAGAGGCCTTTCGAGGCCAGTGACAGGATCTGTGTCTGGATCAAGTCTGGCCAGGGTCCAGAGAAGGGGTCTGCTTGAGGGGAGGGGTCTTTCTCACCCCGTCTCTTCCCCTGCGGCCCTTGCCCCTGGGCTTTGCAGACATTCCTGGGGCCAGACTCCTCCAGCCTAGACTCTCGATAACTGGCCCAAGGTCGCAGTACCAGGGAAGCTGTGACAACCTGGGCCTGGAATACCCAGTATGCACAGGGACAAGGGGCAGAGGGGGAGGAGGGTGTCGACACAGCCGCCACTAACACACCCCCGTGCCTGGGAAGAAACTGTACATTTTGAAGTCTTTTTTTCCTGGAAGAGAAAAAAAAAAAACTCCCTAAAAATATATCTTCCTTCTCACCTCATCTTGGGGCTAAAACAGTCCAGCTGCTGAGCTGAGAAGTGAGAGCACCTCCCTGCCACCCCCAGGCTGTGGCTCCGAGCTACTCGACCACTCCCTGTAAGCACAGCTGTCACTGCGCCATTTAACACATTTGGGGGTTGGGGGTTCTTCTGTAGAGTTTCGAGGTTCTGGGAGCCCAGTGTGCAAGCCTACAACTTTTGAAAGTTTTTTTTTTTTTTTTTTTTTTTGGTCTTTTTTCTTTTTATCGGTACCAGGGATCGAACTCACGACTGCCTGCTTGCAAGGCAGGTGCTTATGCCGCTGAGCTAAATCCCCAGCCCCAAGCCTACAACTTTTGAGCTGCATTCTAGGCCTGGTATACATCTGGCCCTGCAGAGATGGGAGCTGTGTGTAAAGGCCAGAGGTAGGTGGTGAACAGGAAGTGTGTTCCAGAAGGATCGTTCCCTGCTCTGTCCCTTGTCCCCACTCTCTGTCCGAGTGGCTACTTTCTCACCCTGGCAAGGGCAGGGCAGGAGATCTAGCAGCGCCTCAGAGTTAGGCCAGGAGTGGAGTCCAAGGTCTGCAGCTTC